TATTCAAAAACGAAATTAAGCAAAGCTAAGTGTTTGTCATAAGAAAAGACGCAAAAACTCACAAAAATAAATACAAAAGTTAATAAAATGAATAACTAAAGAAAAAAACAAATATAACGCGAAAATTGTTAAAACCCAAATTAATAAAAATTAAAAACAATTTTAACTTTTAGCGCAGCTGTAGTTAACACACATATGGAAAAGTTCTCAAACAATTAATCGTTAAATAATAAATGTAGTTAAATTCAAGTAAAACCCAAAAAAGAATATAAAAAGTGAAACATAAAAATTTATTTGGATTTTAAGCCGCACGATACACTTGCACACAAGTACACACATACTCACACGTTTAAGTGGAAAATAAAAATGCAAACAATTTATTGCAAAAAAAGTATAATTATGGTTTTTGTCTATAAAAAAATTGGGATCTTAAAGGTGGTGGTCAGTATAGGGTTAAGTTTAAATTTTAAATTTAATTAGGTAACATTTAACATTTGTCTATGCAATTAGTACGTTAGTATTCTGTAGTTTGCTTGTAGTTTCTACGTATTTGCGCCTACGTCTAGCTACCGCTTCCACTCGCAGTCACTAACAAATACCGTACGTCGCACCGCTACCGAAAACTTACTTACTACAACTACTACTAAAACTACCGGCTGTCCTAATTTTACTTACGCTTGTTCTTCCATGTCATGGACATGTTTTTTTTTCAATAATTTCAGAAGACACACACTTTGTGTCGCACTCAACCACACACGACTCCAGTGCACTGCTGAACACCTCGGAAGGTCTGGAGATTCATGTGGAGTTGCCTGGAAAGCAGCGGCGCAACAAGGAGAAAAATCAACAGGACTTAGAGTTGGCGCTCAAGCGAAAATTGAACCGTGATTTGAAAGAACGTTACTTTAATTTACACAAAACTACTTTGTTGTGTTGTTTTGGGCATAGTTACCGTTACAATCGCATGCTCAACGACACACCGCTGATGCAGGCCGCATTGAAATTGCTGCCGAGCAGCAATGCCTATCCACCGCAACGTGGCACCGAAATCAAATACTTTCAGTCAATGGTCACTTGGTATAAGACCGCTGTGAAGTTGGCTTCGCCCAATTTATATGGTGAGAAGGTGCGTAAGAGTAGGCGGCGAGTGAAGCGGGAGCTCATGGCGCAGATTAAACGCAAGGAGGCTAGTTGCAAGCAGGATTTTGTATTTATATTTGTATGTTTACTGCGTGCAATGGGCTTGCAGTGCAGGCTGATTGTCAATATGCAGCCGCTGCCGCTGCGACCGTCGCCATCGGATTTGTTGACGATCAAATTAAAGCGTGAGGGAGATAAGAAGGAGGAGGCTGCGGTAGAGGTAAAGAAGTTAAAAGTCGAATGTGACATAGTAGGTGGAACTGAGGAAAAGAAGCGGCCTGAGAAGGACGGCAAAGAGAAGGCTGCAAAAGTAAAGGAAAAGAGTCCGAAAGAAGAGCATAAGAGAGATAAAGAAAAAGAGAAAGCACGAGATAAGGGTAGTGAGAAGGCAGTTAAAGAGAAAGTCACGAAAGAAAAAGAGAAGATAGGGAAGGATGTTGCCAGAAGTACTCGTGGCAAGATAGTTTCTACAAATCCACATAAAGAAGCGGTGCAAAAAGGTTCTCACGCAGGAAGTAAAAAACCGCCGAGTGCTAAGCTAGCTGAATTAAAAGCGGTAGAAGAATTTGAAAGTAAGGATCAAATTGTAAAGATCGATGAAAATCTAGATACTCAGCAGGTTTCAAGAAGAGCTCAGACCAAAGTACCAAAAGAAGTGGAAACGGCTGCGGATGACAAAAAGACTTTGAATAGCTCAAAAGAAAAATTGTCTACAAAGGAAGTAAAACCAAAGCTTTCGCGACTAAAGAGCAAAAGAAATGCGACGACATCTGATGAGCGTGTCAAGCTCGACTTATCGGCTGATAAGCCTTGCCTCAGTGTAGAAGCAACGACAACGGCACGAGCCAAGCGGCAAATTTCCACTGAGAAGCCAATTATAAATAAAGCAATAGCGGCAACTAAAAGCACTAAGCCAGTAATACAGATTGGGTCACCTGTCGTACCGAAAATCGTGATTCAATCAGGTAAAACAATTATCACTGCCGAACGTGAGAACCAACCACATGCCAGTAGCACCCGTACGCGGGTTACGCGTTCACGCAGTAAATCTCCCAAAATTCATATTTCACCTACGTTCCTGCAGAGCACAGATTATAGAAATAAATTTCCCGATCCTGCAGCTAACGTAAAAGCACTGCCGAAAGCTGGACGTGTCACGACACGCGCCAGGTCAAAAAGTCCCAAGCAGAAAATACAAGTTTCGACAGATTTTTTAAAACAACCTGGTAACAGCGCCGTTGAATCAATTGCAGGCAGTACACGAGCGGGACGTATCTTGCGTTCCCGTCAAAAATCCAATGAGGTTGCGGGTAATGATAAAAAACTACCGCCAGTGCCGCAGTTAGATGGCGCTGACGATAGTTTGGAGAAGGTGCCGTCTAAAAGTAAGCGTCCACAATTAAAAAGGTTAAAAAAGAAATCCCAGTCGCGTGACGAAAATTCCGACGAAGATTTTGAGCCATCACCACCGAAGCAGCCCAAAAAGGCGCCACAGTTATCAACAAAGAAGCCTGTGGACCGTCGTGTGTTGTCGTCCGATGAGGAAGAAGGTGGTGGCGGTAAAGTAAAGCGTAATCCAACAGCGGCAGATATTTGGGTGGAAGTATGGTCCGATGCGGAAGAGCAGTGGGTTTGCATAGAGTTGTTTAAAGGCAAATTGCACTCCGTAGAGGCGATCAGGGTAAGTAACATATGGTTTTATATTGAGATTGTGCAAAGCGAAAAGAAAATGCACTCAAAAATGTCTTTTAAAATAAAACATTTGAGTATGGAATTTTCTAAAATTTTAGATATATTTAAGAATTATAAAAACAAAAAATTTTTAGAAAGCCGCCTCTTCCAATTTCGCCTATGTGTTCGCATTCCAAAATGATTTGAGCATTAAGGATGTGACTGCTCGTTATTGTCCCAATTGGACAACAACGGTACGCAAGTCACGTGTTGAACGCGCTTGGGTTGAGGCAGCCTTTGCATCATACTATGGTCAACGCACAGCTCGTGACATTCGCGAGGATCAGGAGTTACGCCGCATACACGAAGAGAAACCCATGCCTACATCAATTGCTGAGTACAAAGATCATCCGTTGTATGCGCTTGAGCGTCACTTACTCAAATTCCAAGCAATCTATCCGCCGGAACCACCAACTTTAGGTTTTATACGTGGTGAACCGGTATATGCACGTGAGTGTGTACACACCCTACATTCGCGTGAAATTTGGCTGAAGCAAGCACGCACAGTTAAGCTGGGTGAACAGCCTTATAAAATTGTAAAGGCGCGCCCCAAGTGGGATCGGGTAAATACGCGAAACTGCATAAATATTTTTACATATTTAATTTATTATTATACGCTACCATAGTTAACACAAACAGTGATAAAAGATCAGCCGCTGGAGATTTTTGGCTATTGGCAGACAGAGGATTATGAGCCGCCAACTGCCGAAAATGGCATTGTGCCACGCAATGCCTACGGCAATGTGGAACTATTCAAAGAGTGCATGTTGCCCAAGAAAACCGTACACTTACGCCGTGAGTTGCTCATAACAATTTTGTTTATTTTATTTCCAAACGAACACTCAATTACAATTTTCCTCTGCCATCTTTCAGTGACGGGCTTAAATCGCATTTGCAAAAAACTTGGCATCGATTGTGCGCACGCAGTGATTGGTTTTGATTTCCATCAAGGCGCCTGTCATCCTTTATACGATGGTTTTGTCGTTTGTGAGGAGTTTGCCGATCAAGTGACGGCGGCTTGGTATCAAGATCAGGAAGAGCAAGAGAAAAAGGAGCAAGACAAATATGAAGCACGTGTTTATGGCAACTGGAAGAAGCTCATTAAAGGTTTGATTATACGCGAGCGACTAAAGAGGAAATATAATTTTTAAATGTAACCATGTACTCAGAAGTGTTGTAGTCCTAAGTTACAAGCGTTCGGATTATTATTTTGTTTATTTTTGCCTGACGATTCTATGAATTTGTGTTTTGCTTTCGGTATTAGTTTTGCAATCATACATACTTGCGAATTTATTTTTTCTCTTAACCGTCGCATGATTTTTTTTCACTGTATTCTAAAATAATCCCATGGAATAATATAAATTGTACACACAGATCTATTAGGGATTTATAGTACGAAGTGGTTTTTATAAAACAATACTATATACTTATTATATACATTTTGTGTCAATGAAATATTCAAAATTATCATTTCGCCAAATTTGTAATAAGTGAAGTTGGTGTATAAGTAGTTTGTATTGAAGTGTATACTAACAAATTACGGTTATTGTAAATGTGTGTCCATTACATTTGTACTATTATTTCCTCCATACTTGCATTGTCTTCATTCAGGTTCGCCACATGCATGTTTTGGATTACTTGTGATTTAATAAGCAGTTTTTCATTCAAAAAATAAAAGTTTTCTTTGTAAATAATTGCTGTTTCATTTGATAGAGGATTTTATATTTCAGACGTTTTAGCAATGAATCTACTTTCAGCGTCTCCTGTGTCACACAAATTGAAACTGTTTGGAAATCGTAACCTTAATAACGCTATAAATTATTTCAGTATCAAACAATATCAAAAATATTCGCTACTTTGGATTTCTTCGTTTTAACAATTTTGAAATATTATTGAATATCACATCCGTGTATCATTATTACCCGCCATATTTGCTTATGTTTATAGCGGAACTGCTAACAATCGTGAATTATCCAAATACGGATAATAAGCAAGATAGTAATAAAACTCCGTTGTAACTGTGTATTAAACCTAAAAATGTATAAAAACTAAAATTAACATAATTATTTGAGTATTTATTAATATAAAATGTGAAATATTTAAAATTACTGTGTTGTATAGTTTTTAATAGCGTGTATCCGTCCTTCACTTCTAAAATAGTTAATACGGAAACTTATATATTACTACTTTGTTTTGTGGTTATAATGGAAATTTTAAATTAAAAGGTTTTTTTATGAATTAATAAGCAAGAATTATTTTCTGCATTTGTAAGTTGCACCTATATCAACTCAACCTGCAATTAATGTGATAATTTAACCTCAAAACAAAAGGAAGCAATAAATTTGGCACCTTACGTATCTTCTTGCGGTATCAAAACAGCTGCAAGTGGTTGAAACTCCTACTAACTATTTTACTCAAATTTAAAAATATTTAATTTGAATAAAAAAAAACTCTATTTTTATAGAATATAATTCCGTTGCAATTGAAACTTTGGCTTGTGTTTTTCTTTTATGTTAGAGAGTAAATGTTTATTTGTTTTGCTTATTATTTACCATACAGATTATGTGATAAAGTTAACCAATAGACTTAAGTCTTAATTTTTCATTTATTATTTAATTTTGTTTCTATGTATATACATATGTATATACACATAACCAATTTAAGCGAATCTAAATATTTTATATCGAAGTATTTAATAATTTTCTTATTTTAATTTTTTTAATCAATAAGATTTTTGTAATTTAATTTTTATTAGTCACATCAAAAATATTGAAATCGTAATATTCAAAAAACCTTGCTTAACTTACTAATATTACGCATATGCATGTGTGTTCAATTAATAATGATTGTAAAATAGAAGCGTTAAATATTTATGAAAATTTCTTTGCAAATGGAATGTAATGAAAGTTGTTCTAATTAGCAGTGCAAAAATATTTATAATTTAAGTATTGTACAAGTTAAAAAAAGTAATTACTATAAACGCACATTTAAAATTTGTGCATGCAGACAGTGAGAGCAATGCGGCAAAAACAACAAATAAAATTCAACAAAAATAACACAGAAAATACTATATTAAATAACAAACATGAAATAAATAAAAAGAAATAGTGGGCTCAAAAGCAAATTTAAGCCCAGTGAAAATCTCTGTAAATCTCTAGCGTCACTAATTTAATCACGATAATTATTTCAACACAACAAATATTCAGCAGATTGAGTTTCTTATACTCAAACGCGCCGCATCCCTTTCACTGACCCGCTGCATTGTCTAAATCTAAAAGTCTTCTGGGGCAAAAAACGTTTTTCATGTCTGGAAATATATTCTTTTTTTAAACCAGATTTTAATAACCAAAAAAAAAAATAAAAATAAAAAAAAATACACAAAAAAAAATATAATAAAATAAAATAGACAAAAAAAAATATAATAAAAAAAATACACAATAAAAAATCTCATAAAAACAAATTCGTGGCTGCTTAAGTACGTGAGTTAATTAAAAAATTCTTTGGTGTTTTTTCTCTAGCTCTTTCGGGACCGCTGCATTCACACACAGATTTTAACCCCGTTCGTCTGGCTGCTCTACGACTTTGTTGCCGTGCCGACCACGCCACTGTAGCTTGCGCCGGTGCGCTGCTGCACTGCCACTTCATGCGCTTTGGAATTCCTATTTATATCATTGCTTGTTGTTGTCTCCTCAGTGGCCTGCTGAAGCTGCTGCTTATAGGCATTTTGCTCTTTCAGATAGTTAATGTACATGCGACGCGCTTGATTCAACACACGCGTAACATCGTGCTTGCGCACCATCTTGTCGAAATGCATTGCAATCTCATTGTAATCCATGCCGCTTTTCATAATTGTTTGGCGATGCTGCAGCAGTAGCGTTAGGCAGAGAAACATCAAGAAAGGATTGCCACCACCGAATTCGTTGGGTGGTGGTAAAACTGGAGTTCTTGCACCTACTATACCCGTACTACCAGCTGCACGTTCGTCAGCAGCCAGTGGTGGTTTCGTAAAGGCAATCTCATCAACTGCATTGGTGGCCAATTCTACTGGTGATGCGTTGGCGGTTTCTGTGGATATCGGCATTAACACTTCGGGCAAACTGCTACTGTTGGGTAAATCTACCAGTGGACAAACAGTCGGATCGACGAAGGGATTGAGCACACTACGCTCCGCCAGTGCCGCTGCCGCTGTGTCCGTGCCATTTGAATTGCTATCCATTATAGTATTGGGCAGCTCAGCAGCATCTTGCCAAGCACTGCTCGTTGTTACATGCTGTAGCGGTTCTATACTGCTTCTCGTACGACTATTACGGCTGCGACGACGTATGAGTAATTCGCTAATGTCGGGACATGCCACAATCTCATTTTCTTTGAGATCCTCTACCAAGTCCAGGGAGTCTCTGTCGAGTTTTTCATATTCAAACTCGCAATTGACGACTGTCTGCTTATCGGCAGGCTCACCAAACACTTGACGATCCAAATTGTCCGCTTCTAAACGTAACTCACGCGTGATAGCTGTTGTCATCGGGTAATACTCTTGATCTTGACTATCGTCAGGCGTCAAACTTGGTTCAGCGGACAAGTTACTTGTGGGTGTGTGTTTCACATCTGCTAATGTGCTAAAGCTGGCTACGCATGCTTCCGGTAACTCTTCGCCATCAGCTTTACGTTCGTATGTGGGTGTGCGATCGGGTGTGTGTGCGGTCGAGGAGTCGAGCGATGCAAGTTCTATGTGTAAACTATTATTACTGGCATTGTTGGTCTGTTGTATTGCTGTAGCGGCGGTAGAGCCGCTCCATGTCGTGTCGGGCACCGATGATGAATCGGATTCATCGAGTGATGAGACGAAGCCGCTGCGCGTTAGCTGCACGAGCGGGTGTGGTGTTGTCTGGGCGGTTGTTGACTTGTAGGCGTGTGTCGGTGAAGGTGTTTTCGATTTGTCTTTGTCGTAGGCATTCAGACTGGCGTCATTGTTGCCAGTTATGGTCGGCGGCGTCGCAACGAACTTATCCGCAATGCGATTTTTATTCATTGAAGCGAAGTTGAGAAATTCATTAAAGTTTTTTACCAATTTCTGTTGTGATTTCTCGGTGTTGCTCAGCTCATCGAAGGAGATGCCTAGTAATTAGTTTGTTATTTGAATTATATATGAAATAATTGTGTTTATATACTCACCTTTTCTGCTCGTTGCCGCAATTTTTTCTTTAAGGTCCCTGAAATGACCACCGCCGCCGCTGCTTACGCGTCGCACGCTATCACCCACGTTGGAAGCATTCGCAATTTGTTTGGCTATTATATTGCTTACAGTGTTATAGTTCGATAAGATGTTCTTATTTTGCAATTTCGCTATACCCTTTGGAAGTTGTGGTATTTTTGCCATAAGTCCGTTTTCACCTACGCTTTCACCTGCATCACTTTCATTTAATGTTGCCGCATTGACACATTTTGGTGATTGTGACGTCACTTTAACTATTTCTTCTTTCGTAATGCCATCTTCTAGGAATGGATTTGTTGGATGAAAATTGAAGTGTTCAATATCATTCGAATCTTGATTAGCGCTGCTTTCGCCGCTGGCGAACACATCGTCATCCTCAACAAACGTCGCACACTCCTCCACTTTGGTTTTGGACGTTAAATTATTTGCCTCTTCATTTTTTACATCCTCCATGCCCTCCATTAGCAAAAGCATTTTGGACTCGTCTAGACTTTGATGGGCTTTTGATGAATGACGTCTTCGGCAGGCGACTGCGCGTGGCATGTTATCATCGAGACTCTGATTGAGACGTTTTGTTGCATCTAAACGCAAGCTATTTAGTACGCCTCCGCCAGCACTCAGCGAGGAGCTCAGCGAATTCAGTGAGGCCGATGAGCTTTGTCGGCGAAGTGCGCATACCTTAGTGTAGGGGTTTTCACGCGGCTTCACCAGCAAATAGGAGGGACTAATTGGTGCACCATACGAACTAGATTGTGAGCTGGAGCTAGTAGGTGCAGGGCTTTCTGAAAAAGGCACAAACTCCTAGAGAAAAATATGAAAATTTAACTAACCTCCAACAATTCATAAAAACTCTCAACACTTGCCTTTTCAAATAAATTCAGTTCTTTGCAAATGCTGGTCTCATACTTCAGTGCGCTCCATTGCACTTCAAGCATGCGCAGCGCATCATCGAACGGAAATTCGCGCTTCAATTCTAACAATAACCAACGATAGCAGTAGAGTAAGTCATCGGCCTGCTGCGATTTTAAATACTCCCAAAACTCCGGATCGTAAAAACTAAGCGCTTCAGTGAGGTGTGTGAACTTTTGTGTCATGGCTATGCCATCCAACATGAAATTACCTTTTACACGTGACATTATGGCACAGAAGCAGATATAAGCCTGCGACTCATCGTTCATGGTTACCAGTAGTGGTGAGGCGATATCCGACATGCCTTGACAATAACTCACAGAGGGATGATTGAGCGCATAGGTTGTTAAAATATTGAAAAGTGATGCTATGTTTTGATTGTCATCGCTGCCGGCGTAGAAGGGATGCAGTCGATCCGTACGCAGTACGTCCTTCTTCACCATGCTTGTGACATACGACAATTCGCCGGCGATACAACCTAAAAAAAATGTTGGCAGATTTTAAAACTAATATTTATTTATACATTTTGCATTAAACACACACCTTGCTTTACAGCATTTATCCACGTATCACGTAACTTTATATACTGTTCCGACTTTCTACGCATATAATCCATACGCTGATGACCGTTCATGCCATGCGGATAGACATTCAAAATATGTTTCCACACCACGCGTCGCAAGCTTGGATCAATACCGCCCAGAAATATGACTTTTCGTAATTCATCGTTACGTTTGATTTGTCCCAGTGCGTCCAAAAATAAACGAAACTCATTGTCAGATAAGGGTGGTCGTGGCGGTAATGACGCCATTGTCTCTTCCGACAAATTGAAAGCTTTTTGCACAATTGAAAAAGTTTTCTCCATATGGTTCATTATGAGTCCCGGTAGTTTTGTTTGCATATTCTGCACATATTTTTGTGATGCACCTATAGACTGTTGTAGCGGTGAGATTGCATCACGCACACCCGTATTTGCCGAAAAACTGGGTGAAAGTGTATTGACACTCGTGCTACCACTACCACCACTACTATTGGCTAGAACAGTGGATGTGACTGTTGCGTCAATATCCCATTCTCGTACCTCGGTAAATGGTTTAATGTCGATTTGCAGCATTAGACATGGTTCTGTAGCTGTTTGTATGGAGAGATTATGTATGCGCAAGAAGGCCGCATCCAAATCCCAATCGGACAGCACAGATAAGTAAATCTCATTGCCTGCTGGATCAAAGGCTTTATATTTGATAGAGAAATCTGATTTAATGTCAAATGCTTTAGCGAGCAACGAATAGAGCACTTCCAGTGATGTGATTTGCGGATCGACACTAAATTTACGCCATTCACATGGCAGATTCAGTTCGCATTTCTACTTATAGAAACGAAAAAAAGCATTGAAAATGCGTTAAAATTGCATTTTATTGTTTTCTATTTGCTAACACATTTACCTTGACTTTAACGCGCACAGCGCAGTGTGGGTAACTGGCCATATTTTCTGGTCTCTTCAAATACGTAGCGGCCAAGTTAGTCGTTTACCGCAAACTGTTAGTTACAATATCAGTAAAGCTCACTTTAAATTCCATTCTTCCATCTGGCTTGCAGACGTTTTGCACAATTTTCGCGAAGTTGCAAAATTTGCTTTCAACAAAAAACGACTTTGAGTGCAATGAACAGCTGAAAATGCCAACTGCGAAATGTTGTACGTGTGTGTTCGTATGCATGGGAGTGTGTGTGTATGAAATGTCAAATGCTTATTAGGAAGCATACGAAATGAATGTTTGTCAAACAGCTGTTCGGCAACGACAGTACTGTTATTTACAACACTACTTGGATGAAACCGTTTATGTTTTATCTTAATATTAAGTTACAAATAGTTTTATTAATGTTATTATTATTTTTTGTTGTTGATAAAATAAAATACAGCGCTTAGAGTGACCTCACTTTATTGGTATCGTACTGTTTACATATAATTAACAATTTTATTTTTATATTTTACAAAAAATTGATATTAAACATTTTTTTATTTAAACATCTTTTCCGTATACGTATAGACTTAATAAGTGACTATGTTGTAATCTTAGGTTTATATCAGAAACCTTTTTATTATAGGTTTATATATTTAATTTAGTTTATGATTCAGTATTATATTTTTTGTATTATTATTATTGTAATTTTGTATAGTTTTTTGCTCTGTCTGTATGAAATTACTTATTCTCGTTGAATATTTTTATATTTATTATGTTACAAAATATAAATGTTTGATATTTTTTAATTTAAAAGTATATGTGAAAGTTATAACTGAAATTCAAAATAATAGTTGTACACCGAACATTTTTTTACAGTACCAGTTTGCACGCATAATTAAGATATTAATAAAAAACCAATATAATATTATGTTTTAAAACTTTTTATACAAATTTAAAATAGTCTAAAATAAATTCATTATTTATTCCTTTTTTTAAACACCTAATACTATTTTTAAATCGAAAACGATTAGTTCTCTCTTGTTAAAAATTTGAATGCTTTCTATAAAAAAATTTGGAATAATAAAATATTCAAATGTTTTATCAAATCATTTATTCTAAGAAATATTAGTTTTCAAATTAAAAACGTCCTTATTTTCAGCAAATAAATGAAATTCATGCTTATCATTGTTTAAAATCATAGCTTGTTACTGAACAAAATACAATGCAGTGTAAAAAGTTCAAATAAAAAAAGCAGTATAATTAAATGTTATTATTAGTTAAAATTAAAAAACGAAAAAAAATAATAATTTTCACAACAAAAATTTTTAATAAAAAATGTAAAAAAAATAGTTTATGTACGGAATGTAGAGCAAGATTTTAAAGAAAATTTATGAATGAAATTAATGTGCCATGGAACAAAAAAAATTATTGATTTAAATTTTAAAATTTAAAATTAGTGGTTTGCATATGGACTAAAAACTTTAAAAATTAGTTTTTTTTGTATTTAACCTTGTGCATTAAAGATAATATATATAAAAAAAATTAAAAGCACTATAATAAAAAAGAAAAAAAATTATTAAGTATTGAAAAACAGTTTTATTAGAAGATAATATTTTTTATTAAACACTATTTTTTTATATAAACATTCTTTCAAGGACAAAATGTAGAAACAAACAACAGATTTTCAAAATTATTTTACATATATATTTATTATTTAGTATTGACATATTTTTAATTATACAAACATTAGAAACCCATTAAATTTATTATAAATTTACATATACTATATATATTTTTCTTTTTTTATTAAAATTTGCATATTATTTATTTTCTATTTTAAAGTTATGCGTTTTTCAAAACTTACATAAAATGTTAATTTAGGCACACCCGAACATGATTTGTGACTTTAACAGTTAAATATTTTGATTAAGTTTATTTACAAAAACAAACTTTATTTACAAATTCTCTACGTATACATATACTTTATAAGTAATTAATATTTTTTACAAATACATACATGCTTAAATTTAATTATGTAAATATATATTTTTGTTCTTAGCGTTTACATACATTTCAAAAATGTTATTGTATTATTAATATTATTTTTATTTTTTAATAATGTTTTTAAGGAGAGAATGACTACTGACGCTTTTACTTTCTAACGCGTAAAAATCTCGCACACTTTTATTTACTTTGCTGTAAGTTTTTATGGTACAAGTAAATATTTGCTTACTGTTGGTATTCACGATGAACAATTTAACAAAAAAAAAAAAATTAAAAAGCACAGTTATCTTATAAACATTTTTACTTACTTTCCCGTTGGGCTTTTGACTGAATTTTTTTTAAATGTTAATTAATTCCTTTTTCTTGTCCAGCGTATTGTGCTTAACATGAATACCTTTATATTAATTAACGGCTTTTAAATATATAACTTTCCTTTTATCTTTATAAAATTGTACTTATTTGCATACTATTCATGGTTTACTTCATAAATAACTCGCTGCTTCCAGGTTTACGCATTTCGCTTGAGGTATTGCTTGTGCTCCTTGAATACCTCTATCGCACCGACTTCATCGATAACAATGTACACGTGCGCATCTACAAATATCGATTAACGCAACCGACAACGGTTTGAAACCGGCATAATTATTTGTATTGTTTTGCTCTTGACTAAATTATTTGTGGTTGCATTGAACTGTTTGTTAGTCGCAGCGACAGCATAACGCTTGGTATTTTCTTTATTACTTAATCCAATCAACTGCTGTGCTGCACAATAAATACATTCATACATTTATCTTTGAAATAACACCGCCAATATCATCAAACCCGCAAACTACTGCGAGCCTCAATTGTTGGGGTCCTTATTGTAGTCCACATACACCCGCACCACTTCGCCCGAGTACTTGCGCTGCGATGGCATGAAGTAGAAGTCGGGTGTGTCAGCGCCACCGTTCGAGCTCATGCGTGGATCCTCTCGCGTTCGCGAACCGTCGCGGTAGTGGCGACCATTGCGCTCCTCGCGCGCCACATGCGCCGCAGTTGTGGTAGGTCGATGGCCGCGACGCTCTTGCGTGTAGTAGCCGGATGGCTGCATATTGGTGTGTTGCTGCTGTTGCGCCTGTTGACGCGGTAGGGAGTAGGCGCGTTCAGCGTATGAGCTGCGCGAGTAGCCGCGGCCGCCGCGTTCATTGCTGCGATCGCGTTCGTAGCGATCGTAATGACCGTTCTCATTAACTGCGGACGCGGCGGTGGCGATATTGCCGGTGCTGCGTTGCGCGCGTCCATTACTGCGGTAGTCGTGCGTGCCGTTCTCATAGTGATTACGACTGCGCGAGCGAAGATCGCCACCAGCGCCGTGTCCGTTGGCGCCCTCGTAGTAGTGTTGCGATTTGCTGGTGGGAGAGTGAGACATGGGCAGTGCGGTTTGTGGTTGATTGTTCGAGTTGGAGGAGCGATTGCGCGACTTTTCTTTGGTCGCAGCGCCAACGGTGGTGGATGTGGTTAGATTTTTCTCTTCCGTCTCTCCGTAGGGGTCGAAGGCGTAGTTGGTGTTCGAGGCGAATTCCTTCCAGGGCGAGTTTTGTATAAGTTTATCCTGGAAAAGTTTGTTGGAAAAAAGTGTGTGTTATTATTTATTGCTATTTTTGTTTGTGTGTGTAGCGCATAAACCAGCCAGCATAATGCGTTTGTTCGATAAACTTTACAATATTTCTATTATTTATTTCATGGATACTGACAAACGAGTCACAACGGCTTCGGTTAGAAATGGTTTATATTACATTGTCACAATATGGCAACATTGCGCGAATACAGTTACATTCGTTGCTTTGAAATGCGCATACGTACATACATACACACATACATATATACAAAATTTCGATATTTACAGGTGTGTTTATTTACTATAAATCTATATCTCAAGTAACCAGTCATAGATTTTGCTTGATGCTATTTTGTTACATACATACGACAACATAGTATACAAAGAAAACAAGTCAAAGAAAATAATCAAAAACCAAAAATATAAATAAAAAAACGGTTCTAAGCCTATCGTTCGTTGGCGCAGTGTGATCTGTTTAACGTCATGTTTAAGTACCTGCGCCGCCTTAGTGGATATCTCTACTACGATAATACTCTCATAGCATATAAAAGATCCTCATGGCGGCGATAGCCCAGTCAACTAAAATTTCTGCCGAAATTACTATTTCAAGTTTCTTCAAAAATAAAAGTGGATGGAATAGCAGTTCATTAAGTCGGACCTTTTTGGCAGTGGCGATGACGGAGTTGAGACAATTGTTTTTGCAATTCGGCATCGTATCGGCGAATTTGTAGAACTCTGTGACTTTTTGTCCTTCTTCAATATTTTTAGATCACAACTTGTGAATATCAGAAAACGGTAGCCATTGCCTTTACGCCCGATAGGCCTGTCTTTCCCTTTTTCTGAGACTCTTCTTTCGACGTTTCCTTGTTTTTTGGTGTGTACCAGTTCATTCGTATTTCGTCGACGGCCACAAACGACGTAGAAACTACTTCATACTGCGCTTAAACAGTGTCAAATACTGTTTTGAAGTGATCTCACGGTCACGCTTGTTGCCATACAGCTTTCTCACACCTAACATTTCGTGATCTTTTTCGACTACTGTTGGGTGTTTAGAAAAGACCTTGAGACCGTTAATGGCTGAGATGAAGGTTAACTTGATAATGGCGGTTTATCACAAATTATGATAACATAGTGATATAGAATAAGAATTCAATGGAGAGAAGTTTTTTCCTTAAGTTTATCAATATGACTACAAGGATATAACAGTACTAGTGGGCGACAATGGACTTATAATCATCTAGGTGTTAATGACCTCCAACAAAAAAAAGAAGTATAAGAAGAAGAAAAATTGGCTTATTTTATCGATAATTTTCGATATATTATGTACCATATATCTTATGTAATTTAGTCGGATATGACTACAGTAAGAAAACGATAACTAATTTGTTAATGTAAGTGTATATACTACAAAAGGCGAATTTTACTACTAAGTTTTAGTACTAAAACTTTTACATCAAATAACACACGGAAAGATAGAAATGCCCACTATATGACCATACTATCGGAGCAATTTTCTACGATGTAGTGACTGCCGAAATGCGGCTGCATATATATTGATTTCCAGGTCACAAAAGAATTCCAGTAAACGAAATAGCTAATGAGATTACAAAAAGTGCCATTCGTCTGGCTACCGAACCAGTATAGGAAATACCTAATTCGTTAAA